AATACTGTCACACCATGAAGACGAACGATCTCGTGGATGTAAATCTCTACCAACCGCTCTGAAGAATAGGTAACTGCCATAGGAATGAAATACGCTGACTTGGTTAGCCTATCCACAATGATCCAAACTGCATCGAATTTCCTCTGAGTCTGTGAGAGTCCAACAACGAAATCCATAGTGATACGCTCCCACTTCCACTCAGGAATCTCTATCTTCTGAAGCAAACCACCAAGTCTCTGATGCTCATACTTTACTTGCTGACAATTTAGACACCGGGCTACATATGCAACTATATCCTTCTTCATCCTCGTCCACTAATAATGTTGCCGCAAATCTTGATACATATTGGCGGCACCCGGATGAATAGAATACCTGGAACATTGGGCCTCCTCTAGAATCAACTCATAAAGTCCATCCACATTAGGCACACAAACACAACCCTACATCCTCAAAACTCCATCATCTCTAACCGTAACCTGCTTGGCATCTCTGTGCCGCACTGTGTCCCTAAGGACAAGCAAATGAGGGTCATCATATTGCCGCTCCCTAGTGCGGTCAAACAATGAAGACCAAGCAATAGTATAAGCTAGAACATGACTGGGCTCAGAAACATCCAACCTCACGAACTGACTGGCCAAAGCCTGAACATCTAATGCAAGCTGTCTCTCACCGGCTGGAATGAACGCAAGGCTACCCATACTCACTGACTTTCTACTCAAAGCATCGGCCACCATATTCACCTTCCCGAGATGATACAAGATGGTGATATCATAGTTTTTCAATAGCTCTAACCACTTTCTCTGTCTCAAATTGAGATCCTTTTACTTGAACAAATACTGCAAACTCCGATGATCCATGAATACCTCACACGACACGCCATAAAGATAGTTCCTCCAAATCTTCGGCACATGAACAATGGCTGCTAACTCTAAGTCATGGATATGGTAATTCTTCTCTTGAACCTTTAGCTGCCGTGACGTGTATGCACCTTGCCACCCTGCATCAATACCGTACCAAGCCCTATACGAGATGCATCATAATATACCATATAAGATCCTTAACCTGTAGGCAACACCAATACTGGCACCGTAGTCAAAGCAGTCTTAAGCTTCTGAAAGCTCGCCTCACACTCGTCTGACCATCTGAACGGGGCACCTTTCTAGGTCAACCTGGTCAACTAGGCTGCTATAAATGAGAAGCCCTCCACAAACCGACGGTAATAACCTGCCAATCCCAAGAAACTCCAGATCTCCATAGCTGATGTGGGTCTAGGCCAGTTCTGAACTGCCTCAATCTTCTTAGGATCCACTTGAATACCCTCAGCTGATACAACATGCCCTAAGAAGGCAACTGAGCTCAACCAAAACTCATATTTTGAAAACTTAGCATATAACTGGCTGTCTCTCAGAGTCTGATAAATGATTCGAAGGTGTTGCTCATGCTCCTCTCAACTGCGGGAGTAGATCAAAATATCATCAATAAACACAATCACAAAGGAATCCAGATAGGGCTTGAACACCTGGTTCATCAAATCCATGAATACGGCTCGGGCATTTGTCAGCCAAATGACATCACTAGAAACTTATAATGCTCGTACTGAGTCCGAAAAGCTGTCTTAGGGACATCGGATGCCCTAATCCTCAACTGATGGTATCCAGACCTCAAGTCAATCTTTGAAAACACTTTGGCACCCTGAAACTGATAAAATAAGTCATCAATCCTTGGCAATGGGTACTTGTTTTTTATGGTAACTTTGTTCAGCTGCCGATAATCTATGCACATTCGCATCGATCCATCCTTCTTCTTCACAAACAACACAGGCGCACCCCAGGGCGAGACACTAGCTCTAATAAAGCCTTATCAAGCAAATCTTGCAATTGCCTCTTCAATTCTTTCAACTCTGACGGGGCCATATGGTATGGAAGAATATAAATGTAATGAGTGCCCGGAGCCAAATCAATACAGAAGTAAATATCCCTATCAGGTAGCATCCCCGGCAGATCTGCGGGAAATACCTCTAAAAACTCACGAACAACTGTATTGAATCCATGGAAGGAACACACTAGAATCACGGACATAAGCCAAATAAGTTAGACACCCCTTCTCGACCATGTGACGAGCCTTTATATAAAAGATAACCCTACTGGTAAAATGGCCAGGAGTCTCTCTCCACTCTAATCGAGGTAACCCCGACAAGGCTAAGGTTACCTTCTTGGCGTGACGGTCCAATATAGCATGATAAGATGATAGCCAATCCTTACCCAAGATGACATCAAAATCAACCATATCGAGAAGTAGAAGATCTACACTAGTCTCAAGACTCCCAATAGTAACTACACACGAACGAGAAACATGATCTACCATAATAGCATCTCCCACAGGTGTGGACACATACACAGGAGAACTCAAAGAATCACGAGGCATAACCAAATATGAAGTAAAATAGGACGACATGTATGAATAAGTAGAACGCGGATCAAATAGAACTAAGACATCTCTACTGCAAACTAAAACCGTACATGTGATAACCGCATCAGATGACTCAGCCTCAGGCCTGGCTAGAAAGGCATAGCATTGAGGCTGGGCCCCACCACTCTGAACTACATATCTAGGACGGCCTCCTCCTGGATGGCCTCCACCTCTAGCGGCCTGACCTCCACCTCTAACAGACTGAACTCCACCTCTAGCGATGTGACCTCTACTTCTGGCTCCCTGACCCCTACCTTTAGCTGGCTGAGCAGGCGGTAATGCAACCAGTACCGGAATCATGGCACGAGAACTCTATTGTGACGTGCTGCCCAATAATCTCGGACAAGTCCTCCTGATATGCCCAAAACCACCACACTCATAACATCCATCCTGGTGTTGTGGCTGCTAAAACTGAGTAACTCTGAATATGAAGTGCACTGATAGGAGCTAGCGGTGCACTGTAGGCTGGCTGCCCAGGATGAGGCACATAAGGACCACAACTCCCTGAAGCATTATGGGATGCCTGAAGCGCTGACTGATATGACCTGGGAGGATGACCCCTATTAAAAGTACCCCTGCATCCAGATGAGGCACCACTAAAACCACCGAAACGACGAGGCTTCTTATCTAACCCATGCCCTCTCTCCTGTGAAAGAACATCCTCGATCCGCCTGGCAACATTTTCCTATCTATTATAAAAGAGCCCACCATTTATTATTTTATAACATGTTATTTTGTCTTCTCAGTCATCTGATAGTGTATTATGTAGTTCATTATAAAAATAATAATTTTATATCAAATTTATTTATGTTTAGGACTATGATTTGTGATAATGATAATGAATGTTATTGATGAAGGTACTATTAGGTATTTGTGATAGTTTTTAGAACTTGTGGGAATAAGTCATATTTCATATTTATTTTTTTAAAAAGTGAAATATATTTTGAAAACGGTAAAAACTTACCCGCACCGTGTGTTTACACCAAACCAATAGAGACATGGCATGTGTCTTGTTTATGGACTTCAATCATTTAACCATAGTAAATTATATGCATTCTCATCTAGTTAAATTAATTAACCATAATGACTTAATATAGTTTGGTGTAAACACCCGGTGTGGGTAAGTATTTACTTTTAAAACTAATGTCCAAAAACATTTTCATCTTCAAACCAAACTTCACCCAAATCAAATTTTTCAGAACAAATTTAGGAATTTATGGCCAAACGCTAGCTTTATAAATAAATTTTTTGCCGTCGGATTAAGATCAAGTAATGTATATTCATACTTTAATTTATTGTTGTCAAAATTGAGTTGGATAGGTTTTTTTCCCTATTTGTGTTGTCTCTGATTTCCTCCTTCCCTATTGTGTCTCTCTAAGATTACCAGAGGGAATAAAAAGGAAAGAGCTCTCTGTTTTGTCTTATAGTCTTGGCCAAGCTTTTTTTTTGGGCCAAAAGATCGAGGTATTTGGCCAAGCTTTTAGATAGAAAAAAGTGTTTTTCAGGAGAAATAAAAGCAGTTTTTAAAAAGTAGAAAAAAATAGTTTCTTTCAAAAGTACTTTTTTGAAAAATATTTTTGATAAAAATACACTTAAAAGCAATTTTCAAAAGCTTGGTCAAACATTAATTACTGTTCAAAAGTGCTTTTCAAATTAATTAGCCAAATATAAATTGATTCTCACTAAAAATACCTTTTTAAAAGTACTTTTAAAAAAAACACTTATCAAAATAAGCTGATTTTAGAAGTTTGGCTTAACGAGCTATTAACTCCCCTAAGTTCCAAATGCTCTAAAAAGTAAAAACACCATTTCTATTTTTAGGAGCAAAACTTCTGAATAAACTATCTATAAGCTCTATGATGTTACGTCACCCATTTGCCCTTTCTCTACCTTCCAAAAATAGCAATCCCTTTCGTTCTCTCCCGATTCCCCTTTGACCCTCCTCTCTTTTCGTCATACTTTAGATAATATAAAAATATATATATGCGTTCAGCATTCTGTATCTAATCAAATATCCCCTTTGTTCTATTATAGTATTATTTTATGTGACACTATCTTTTTGTTAGTCCCAAATATCATTCATTTTTAGAAATAATGAATTTTAAATTTTTTATTTTATCTTTAATGACATATTTATAATTATAAAATATCATAACAGATTTGAAAATTTATCTTTCTTTTTCAAAAAAAAAAAAAAAAAAAATGAAAGA